TATAAAATTTATGACACTAAAAATTGATTTAAGAGGAAGGCTTTTATTTTACGTTTAAAAATGATAAGAGATTCACTTAATTTAAAATGGGGTTTTAAGGCATTTCACAAAGTTACAGTTCTGTAATAAAAAGATCTCTGTCCCGACTTGGTTTAAAAAAGCGGTATATTAAGCTGGGTAGGTGATCTGGTCACCCGACCGCTAATGTTCCCTCTGGAGATAAAATTTGAACTGATCATGAGGTAGTTTGTCCGGACCTTCTTCTATTTTAACACTCTTCAAAGCCAAGCGTTTTACCTCATTTAAAGCGCAATAACATTTGTGCAATCACAGTTGCGGTCATTTGAGAAATTTTACCACAAAGTTTGTTGAAGCAAAGGCTATTTATTCTGGAAGCCACTCACAACTAATTTACTAAAAATATTCATCCTTATATGCAGTTTTATTTAGGTCCATTACCGAGACATACCAATTGTCTCAAGTTATCAAAACACCGATTCGGGTATCCAATTCAAGTGCATTACTTAAATCGATGTTATATTAACTAACCGGCCCCAACAAAATTGCCTGCTCTGGGGTTCTCCACACTAGTTTCAGAGACCATTATCCATTTATGCAGTACGCAAAATATCAGTAACAGCCGGCAAATCTCAGAAATACATTTCATACAAGGATTATCGAAATTTGATGCTCTCAAATTCCGTAATGATTTAGGCAAGCTCCCTTGCGAAACTCTGAAACATTACGATGATCCTGAAAATTTGTGGAATACCTGGAAAAATACGTTTCTTTCTGTGGCTGACCAGCACGCTCCGCCAAAAACAAAGCGAGTTCGTCAGAAGGCTTCTCGTTGGCTTACTCGTGACATCACGGCATGCACTTATTGTCAAGAAAGTTAATTTGACTGCTTGAGAAATTTAAAAGGTAGAAAATAATAGGAATGGGATTTTTGACTTCGTAGGAATTTCGGGTTTTCCAGCACGTGGCAAGTCAGAACAAACAGCTAGCACTGTAGTCCAGAACGTTGAATTTTATATTTTGAAGCAGCCCTGTAGTCTTCCTCTGTTTTTTTCTTCTTTTTGTTTGTTTGTTTTTTGTTTTTGTTTACTTCTTTTTTCTTCTTTTTTTGTTACTCAAGACTTGCCAGTCCAGTTCAGGTTTTGCTGGTCCAGGGTATATTTAACCACGGTGCATTGTATCTCAGCTTTGTTGCTTAACTCCTTCATTAAAATGTCAATAAATCTCTTGAGTCCCTTTAAGTGCAACGTGCATGGCACGTGCATTCCTTCCCCGGAAAATTTATGAATACATGTAGAAATACAGTAAACACCTCTTTCCACTCTTATTTCTGGTCATTTGTT